GACTACACCAAACATAGATCTCCAAGCTAGATGCGAAAATCGACGCTGCTTCAAATTGGAGTTGTGAACTTGGGATACCTAAGTTCCACGTTGATCAGCTGGCATGGGGTGATCATGAGACAAGGATGAAGTCTCACACATGAGAGGATAAAGACCAAAGTGTGGACGATAATCCAAATAATTATTGGGTCGAACTATGTAGTTCTAGTGTTTTAAATTAGTACTGAAGTTGATCTAGTTCGCATATAGATGAACTTAGTAGCCAGTGAGATAAAATGTCATTAAAATGTGATATTAGTACTGGCTCTGTTTGGTTGGCTTTTTAGTGCATGCGTTTTTCCTAAAAAATTTTATTAATGACTGTCGTATTCAAACATATTTTTATTACATTTTAATATATTTTTTAAAAATTTTTATTAGAAAAAATACCTAAAAACATATACTAAAAAAACAATCCAAACATAAACTTAGTTAGAATGCTGCGAACACCTTTAAAACTGGAGTCTCGCAGTCGCATCGGCTGGGTGAGAGATAAATATGCTTCAATCTTTTTCTTTTTTGACAGGTAAATGTTTCAATACTTCAATCTAGGAAGTAAATTGTTTCTCTCTTATACAGTAATAGTCTACTCTTTTTATTTTGGTTTTGGTCTTATTATGTTTTGGCAAAAAAAAAAAAAAAATGTTTTGGCAAGGTGGGAAACTTGGGTACAAATACGTACGGGTAGATCCTCACCGGACCCACCTTTAACCTTTGAGAAAATAATCAAAGTATACACTTCACTGTTCCCCATATCCATCTCCGCATAGAGTATTTGGTTGGCCTCCTCCACTTCTGATCAATATTTGCCGATTTCCGGAGTCGTAGACCCTTGCTCTACTGTCTACTGATGTCGTTGAGTTGGAAACTCGAAAATTCGGATCAAAATGAATTGAATCAAGTGCACAAGCTCATGACATTTATACAGAAGAAGCCCTTTCCATTTTCGTGCACGGGATGCTTTGAATGTTGCTTTACAAACTGGGATGTAAACTTGACAGCAAAAAGAACGAAAATTATTCATGTTATCCTCAGGTTTGGAGGGTTTCGGAACGAGCTCATTTAGTTGCGTGATATTTTGTGTTTTGCTTTCTTTCCCACATAAAAATAAAAAATAAAAAGCTATGTCCCACATCGATGGGTTGCTGAAAGTTGGGGAGGACCGGAACAAGATAAAACAGGAAGGACTAGAACTGAATCACATACTTACCTGGACGGGGTCAATGTGCGATCAAGAAGGCCCATGGCCTAGGTTGGTGGTCTCCATCGCACTTTGGAGGGGCGCCCGCCTAAGGTCTGCTCATCGAGCGGAACCTACGTCATAATTTGTGGCAGTGGGGGCCTGCGTTCGCGCGGCCCCTTCCCAATTCTTAGTCCAAATGATTTGCTACTGAATATGAAAATTTGAGTATATTACTTAGTCAGGTAAAACCAATGTCGGTCGGCAGTTTTCCGGCTATATTTCAAAAAAAAAAAAAAAATTGGTGGTTTGTTACTTGTTACTGTCTCATTACGATTTTATTTTTCAATGCTAGACTTGTGATGTTTAGAAACCCTCCATTAATTACAAAAAATAAACCGTATAGTAGTATTGATAAGTAGTGAAAAAATTAACTGAATAGCAATTTTCATTCGTTTCCTTCTCTTAGTTTATAATTTTGAAAATTGATAAGAGTATCCTACATGTCATTTTTTCCTTTTGTTGAACAGTTAAAACTAGATTTTTTTTTTCTGTGTCATGTGAAGACAAAACTGGTAATATTGTCTATTCACAATTCTTCAATCAAAGGAAAAAGAAACAGAATTAATCGTAATTTTCACAAAGTATACATCCATAAGTGATTTTTCCAAATCTTAAGAGAAGTCAACTATGTATATGCTAAATCCATCTATTATTTCCAAATTTATTTCCAATACTTCTGTTACGTTTTCTATGTACCTTTTCAAAGTATTTTTTTTTCCTTATATTTAGTTATTACGTTAAAAACACGTGCCCTAAAAAAGTACAATGCAACTAGGTCGAATCTCAACGGTTCATCGATATTCAATACTTATTTCAATGAAAATGACAAATCGGAAGACTTGCATTTGATGAAAATAAAAAGAGCGATAAATGGAAAACAAATTTTCCAAAATTGGAAAGGATTTAGTGAAACTTTGTTTCAACGAATATTATATATTGTACGAGGGGCATTTTTTCTTATATCTAGAATTATTTTAGTTGAATACCTATTATATCCTTACTTAATATGATACTCCTTAAGCATTAAAAAGTTTAATCCTAAATTGTAAATACATTGCGGTGAGTAAGTCAGTTACCATATTCATGAACGTGATAATATACCATCATCATTCATCAGTACAATTTAATGGAACATGATTGATCATTATTCACCATTGAATCTCATTCAATAAGCATGGTTTTTAATTTTTTTAATTAATCCAAAATTTTTGCATCTCTACTAAATAAATTCACAAACCCAACGACAAAGTTAACTTGGAATTGGTTTTGGCTAACGGAGTTGATTTATGCAACTTTTTGGCTAACGATAAATATAAAAATAATGAACAGTTATTACTGGAGATTTTTTTTACTAATGGAGTTGACTAACATAATGACCAGCTCATAAGTTCAGTAACCTTCCCATGAATTAAAATTTAGCAATGACCAAACCGCAGACTTTCGTATAGTTTAATAATTTTCGGGACAATTCACTCTTTATTAAAAAAATATCCATACAATATTTTAAATATAATTTCAAAACAATTCTTAAATTATATTTCAAACTTAAAACAAAAACGAAAAAAAAAAAAAACTCTTCATGCGGGCACACAACAATCTTGACCATAGATACGTTGCAGCCCGTGCAAAATGAAAATTATGGATAAGAATACCCAAAACATTACATCAACAGTTATTTTTTCGTCTGAAAATCATTATCCGATTCACTTTTAATATAAATTGAACTAAAAACGAAAATCTAAATTGAACAATCTTTTTGGTACGAAAATAGTAATTTCCATTTTTCATCCAAATTATATATAGTTAAGATTCACATTCGTTTTCTAACTTCTTTTATGTTTACAAGATCAAATGTTTATTTGATAAAATAATTTTTGTGGAGGTGGAAAAGTTGATTGAAACAGTCAGCAATTTAGAGTAGACTATTGGAATTCAACGCGCTTCTCGCGTAATATAATTTATTTATAAAATAAAATGTAAGAAATTGAATTCTTTATAAAAAACAATGTGGTACAATATAAGATACTTTTCTCATATTTCATAAAAATAGTTAGCATTATAAATTCTAAATTTTAATGTTTTAAATAAAATTTATAAGTTACATTGTGGACTTTTTTATGCTATAGGGCAAGTAGATGATACAATAGCCTGTAATTAATAAAAATGAAACTACAGAGAATCGGTGTCAGAAAATATGAATATCAAATGCATAGTTTGAATATATAGCTATAATTCTCAAATAAATTACTGTAACTAAAAAAAATTCCGTTCGTCCCGAAAAAAAAAAACATAATATACATGTTTATGGAATAATAAGAATAATACAAATACGAAATGAATGGCTTCAAGCAACAATTACGGGTACTTGCGGATAGATTATAATGTTAAAATTACAAGAAATTTTGTATAGTATCGGTACCTAATTTTGCAGTGATACTTACTCTTATATAGGTAATTCTCCGATACACGCGCTTCATCTAAATTAGCACTGCAACGAATTCTTCTGTATCGATGCAACAACTGAGTCGACAATAGAGAGGCTTTATGTCAAATGAAGGGTGGTTTAAAACTGCTTAACTCTAATTTTTCTTTGTACTTATGCTTTTCTGATATCAAACGCAAGCCACTAAAGGAATAAGAAAGACCACGATCATTAATAAATTACTTTAAGATTTACTTAATTAGTCATCATTGTCGTAAAGTGTCACGAGATTAAATAGAAAGATTAAAGGAGTGGGAATGAGAAATAGAAGAATAAGAATTTGAAGGATTTTTCAATATGGATTTAAAATTGGTACATGTAAAAGTGGGAACAATGAAACCTCCAATCCTTAATTGACATTCATTACAAATAATAACCATATGTAAATAATTAATATTTATAATTAGAGTAATCAAATTAATGTTAACTCATTTTTTCTTCATAATCAGTTATTTAAAAAAGAGTAATTATACGTCCAAGGAAAATTTACAAAGAATGAGTTGTCAATCATCTAAACTATGCCCTAACCTTAAATGTTTAAACTTCAAAATGGAAAGTGTTAAATATGAATGGTTATAATCAATTCCTTGTCATTTTTCCTTGTTATTTTTTTTTTCTATACGAATCATTATCCTTTAAAAATTACACCAAAATTTTGTCCAAACTTACTTTTTGTATATATATGTTGATAAGTATTATTATTACTATGTTGGGTTCGATAGTTGTTGTAATAATCCATTTCGTGTAACTTTGCAAGTAAATATTAGTGGACAAAATATATAGCTTAGGGTGGTATTAATATGGTACCCAAAAAATGGAATCAAAAGTTCTTTGAGGCAGGGCACAAAAATGTGGTATCAAACGAGGATGGTACCATAAGTGAAATAAAAATTCTTGGAATCTTGGTCCACATGAGAGAGTAACCAATTTTGGTCAGCTCTTCGATCTTCATCTGATGAGACATGCATGAACAACTAAACGCACGCATTTCCAAAATACCATAATAAATAAATAAAAACTACAAAAGGTCAGCTAAAACAAAAAATCTGTCAATGGCTGGCATTTGGAACTTATTATTTATAACATGAACTTGTAATTTTTTTTAGACGGATGAAATATATAGTAGCTATAGCCTATAGGTAACTAGGAGATTCGGGCTATAAATACGCACATGCAGAAACTCCAGAAAGACCATCTACATTCATCCTCAGAGTATTTAATTGCTTGGTAAACGATATGAACAGAAAGAGTTCTGGTTCAATCCCGGTGGCCGGCGACGGCGTGGCGGCTACGCTGCTCTTGCTCGGAGCAGCAGTCGTCCTGATTATGTTATCTTCTGGTACCGCAGATGCACAGATTAACAACATACTTTGTTGCAAAGCCTGCGAGACCGTAGCGGCCGACGTATGTTACGCGAATTGCACGGTAAACGGAGTTCTGGTTCCTACCTCAGCCTGCGTCACCGCCTGCGGCCAAAACTACATTAGCTGCGCCGCTCCCTGCGGCACCTGCGCTCCGGTGGAATCGGTGTTTTGTTGCCAAAACTGTAGGCTTAAGAGCCAAGTATGCTATGACAATTGCCTTGTCCAGGGCTCCGGGAGTGCCCAGCCGGACTGCGTCTACAATAACTGCGTCATCCCTTACGCCGCTTGTGCCGACACCTGCCCCGGCGGTTGCGTCTGATCGACGATTGATCGGAGGTCCGATATTAGAATTAAATATATGACATATGATCATTTGCGTGTGTGTATCTGCAGCGCAGTGACAAATGAACGAGAGGAAATATTGTCTGTTTATTTTCTCTTTTAAAATATTCTAAGTAAATAAAATGCACGTAGTATTGCGCTTGCTTATGTTTTCTTTGCTCCTCGTGTATTTTCTTGTTCGTTTCATTTGTGTGTTAATGGATGAATTTTTCTTTTCCTCTCATTTTGTTTGATCGGTCTCCTCCTATACCACAATCCAATGAGTCATTTTTTTTGGTTCTTTTTCCGTGTTTCCAGTGATCATTATATTGAATAATTGTTCTTTTTAATTTATTATCATTTATTACAATTGAAAAATCAAATAAAACAATTATTTTGATTTTTGAGACAGAGGAAGTATATATGAAGTGACTAGTTCTACTTTCGTGCATATATGAAGTGACTAGTTCTACTTTTGTCGCGCTACGCACGACCAATATTTATTTTGAGATGAGAATGGAGAAGGGATTATATATTAATAGTAATCATTGATAACTAATTGACTGTTACTAAAACAGGATATCATAGAGATCTAACAGTAAAAGAAGACAATCAATTTCAACAAAAAGCAACTAGTACTCGGGCGGTTCGTACTTGGCAAATGGTCAGTTCCTTCATGCTTTCGCCTCACATAAACGCAGCATTTTGGATTTCGAGATGGCAGAGCTAATGGCTTTGCGGGAAGCTCTCTACCTAGCACAAAACCCAAGCCTGTCAAATTTTCAAATCGTGGGGGATTCGATCAACGTTATTTTGGTAGCCAGAGGGGATCTGGATGGCCATTCCTCCTCTTTGCCAATCATTGCTGATACCAGGTGCATTCTGCAAACTTTTCCTAGCGTTAATATGTTCTGGATAAGTAGTTCCGAAAATTTAATTGCTCACGAAATCGCTCATTATGCGAATTTGTACTGTAAGGGATACCTTTTGGTCGTCTGGATTGTTTATCACTTACTGTTGGCTGATTTTATCGTTTTATAAAATATCTTGTCCTTAAAAAAAAAAGAAAGAAGAAGCCAAATCTGATCTCTTAGACGAATTTAAGAGTAAAGCTAATAAAACAAATCAAATAATCATTACATCTTTATAGAGGTTTCTATATTACAATCACTTTTTTACATATATATCTTTGTTGATTTTTACTTGCATAATACTCCCTCCGTCCCATAATTATTGTCCACTTTGTCCAAAAAATTTTGTCCCAAAATTATTGTCCAATTTGACTTTTTATGGATCAAATTACACATTCGTCCTTAGTAAAAAATATTATCCATAAAATCTTAGTGGTTAAACAATTACTTATGTAGGGGTATATCCGGTTGTTTAAGGTAAAATATAGTTAAGTTTAACAAAAAATAAAATCTTTTATTTTAGTAAAACTGGACAATAATTATGGGACGAAGGGAGTACATAACTTGCAGCTTATAGGTATTTGAAACAAAATTACTAAGTGATTCAAGTCATATTAATAGAATTTAAATTAATCTCTCTTTGTATCGTTAACCAAACCGTGATAAGATACAATTTATATTGCCTAAGTATCAATCTTGCAATCACTTGAAATGCTGCAAACCAATTGCTAATAATAATCAATTGGATGCAAAAGAAAGAAAGACAGAAAAAGAAAGGACACCAGGCATGTTGTATCTTGCTCATTTAGAGATTTGATCACGAAAGGACATTTACAGTAGAATGAATATTCAATTCCAAAAAAATGAAAGTCGTTTTTTTAAATTGACAATTATACCCCTAATTTAAATTGTTGATATCACGTTAATATATTAACTAATCAAAGGGCTTAATTTAAAATTAATGATGTCATATGTACTAATAAGTCAATCAGATTACTTAATTTAAATTCTGACCAATCATATTTAAGATTTTAAACTCAACAAAAGACATTTACTTATGTACAGATTACTCTTTTATGTATCTTTTATTTGTAATTTTACTCCCTCCATCAATGAATAATAGTCCACGCTCCACAATTTTGCAATTTGTGTTTACTACGAATTACAAGCTACGACTTGGACTATCATTAGTAATGAAATATATTCTTGGCGCCACTAAGAATTGCATACTCGAAAGATCAAGCGTCACTACAATCCATTTCCGCCCAAAAAGAAAGTCACTACAATATTAAACATTAATGGACGAAATATTTATAGCTTAGGGTATAATCAAAAGTGGAATTAAAAGTTCTTTGAGGCTGTTACTTTTTAGTCCAAAAGTGGAAGCTGAGAGCGCCAAAAGTGGCATCAAATGAGGTTTTCTTTTCCCTTATAAAGCTTAGGTAACTTAGTTATGATGATGGTCCATTCTTCATTTGATCAATCCCGTGATAATTACTTAGACAAGTTTAAAAGAGAAACGAAAAAGAAAAACCCAAAAAGGTCAACTTTTTGTTTCCACTACGATGAATGATGCAAGAGTTTACAGATTATACAAGCATGTTTCGAGATATGTTACCCCAATAATATCAAGCTCCATAGTTTAACCTATGGTGGTGGAGCTTCAATATGTGGTGCCGCAGTTTTGATTCTTTGTGAAAATGTTGATGTTACAAGAATATAAGAGAGAAGAGGAAGAACGTTGATTTTTTTTATTTTTTATTTTTTGGCTTTTGGGCATTAAGGTTTTAATGGAATTTTCAAGGCTTAACGGAAAGACTAAAAACAATATTGTTCCCAAGCTACGCGTAAACCTCATTATCCGTAATTACCATCTTTCACTTTCACCATCGTCTCACCTCCTAGTTGAGTAGCTTAATTCTTTTGATATACACATAATAGAGTAATCATTTAGTGTAATCTTCATGTAATAGTTTCAATCATGGACTACACCAAACATTGATCTCTAAGCAAGATTCGACAATTGAGGCCGCTTCAAATTGGGTACTGATACCTAAGTTCCACAAGGAAGAAGTCTCACAGATGAGAGGACAGAGACCAATGTATAGATGATTTCCAAGTAAACTATCTAGTTGGAGTGGTTTAAATTAGCCTTGAAGCTCATCTAATTTGCGTATAAATGATATTTAATTTCTGAACTTACTAGCTAGTGAGACAAAATGTCACTAAAATGTGATATCACTAAGTTTGGATGCGCACGACACCTCTAAAATTGGAGTCTCACATAGTCCTGGTGAAGGACAAACACACTTCAATCTTTTTTTGACATGGTTCAATCTAAGAAGTAGCTGTTTCTTCTTTTATATAGTAGTAGTCTATTCTATTTATTTTGGTTTTTGTTCTAAACTTCTAATTATGTTTTAGCTAGGTGGGAAATTTGGGTAGATGCACCTTTATCCTTTGAGAAAATAATCAAAGTATATACTTCATTGTTCCACATATCCATCTCCGCACAGAGTACTTGGTTGGCCTCCTCCACTTCTGATCAACTTTTGCCGATTTCCAGGTATAAACAACACTTCGGGCGGAGTCGTAGACCCTTGCTCTACTGATCTGGTTGAGTTAGAAATACGAAAATTCGGATCGAATTGAATGGAATGAAGTGCAGAAGCACTTGACATTTATATAGAAAAAAGGCCCTTCATATTGAATTTGAATGTTGATTTACAAACTGGGTGTAAACTTGACAGCAAAAGGCACGAAAATTATTCATCTTTTCCCTCAGATTTGGATGGTTTCATTTTTAGTTGCGTGATATTTAATTTGTGTTTTGCTTTCTTTTAAGCTTTCTCACATAATAATTGAAAAAAAAAATGAAGAGCTATGTCCCACATCCATGGGTTGCTGAAATTTGGGGAGGACGGAACGGGATAAAAGAGGAAGGAGTGATGCTGGATTAAATACTTACCTGGACGGGGTCAATGGGTGATCAAAATGGCCCATGGCCTAGATTGACGGCCTACTAGATTAGCATTTTTAGTAAGTTTTTAAATTACCACTAATAATTTATTTGTTGAAAGGATGTGGATTATTTTGTTTCAGCCGGAGGGAGTGCGTTTTATGTTCTTGTTATAAAGACGGATAGAGTATGTGGTAAAAAATTGTACTGATGCATATTGTAGAAAATGTGCAATTGAAATATATTCAGTACCTATCAGCTATTAATCAACTATACATAAGATCCAAAAGCAGTTGGGGGAAGAACGAACTCAACGGTTCAGGGTAAATCATTAACATCACGATGAGTTCTTTCTCCTTTCTTTGTTACCAAAAATTTCCGCAGCTACGTTTACCATTAGAGAAATGGTGAAACCGAACTGTACCCCTCAAAATGATCTGCCTCTGTGACAGTGATTATAATTTTCAATACTGTGTCAATCTCCGCACACTCGTAAATTCTTGGTGACTGAAGTTAGACTTCTCCCATGCATATTAAGCAAACCAACTGCCACCGCAAGCTTCTCACTGTGGTAAAGGAGGATGTGTTCCTTCTCTTCCTCTTCAACATCTTGATAAACAAAATTAGCCTCTGCAGAATCCCCCAACTTTTTCATTTCTGCTCGTAGTTGCAGCAGTTTAGCGTTTATTTTAGCCGACTCAGGGTGAGATTGATCTCCACCAAGGAATGCATGAATAACTCCATCTACTTCAATCCAACTACTTCCTGGGATCTTCTTGAAACCCAAACTCTTCTGCATAACTGCAGTATCATCCCATCTACCATCAGTGCTGTATATGTTCGATAACAGTACAAAATTTCTTGTACCTTCAGGTCCCAAACTCTGAATCTTATTTGAAATTTCTTCAACTAATTCAACTTTTTTTTTTATCCTACAAGCAGAAAGCGAAGCATTCTATATACGGACATCAGATTCTAATGGCATCTCCTGAATCAATTTGTAGGCATCTTCTAAACCCCTACCACGACCCAAAACGTCTACCATGCACAAATAGTGATCTATCCTAAGTTTAATGCCGAATTGCTTAGTCGTGGAATGAAACACTGCATCCCTTCACCAACAAGTCCTGCATGGCCACAACCAGATAATAGACCAATGAAGGTTACATCATCTGGCTTTTGGTCAACAACCAGCATATTCTGGAAAAGTGAAATGGCTTCCAGTCCCATCCCGTGAATTCCATAGCCAATAATCATTTCCATGATACCACATCCCTCTTAAGCATCTTGTTAAAAACAATTCTACCAACATGGATCTTACCACATTTGGAGTACATGTCAATCAGAGCATTACAAACAGACACATTTCAGTGAACCCACGCCTGATGGAATAACCATGAGCACAACGCCAAAGTTGCAAAGCAGCCCAGTAGGAACAAGCTGGGAAGAGACCCATCATGGTCGCTGATTCCGGTTCAACCCCAAACAACTGCATTTAACGAAAAAGTATCAAAGCCTCTTATGCAATACCATTTTGGACACATCCAGATATGAGAGCACTATATGAAACAGAGTCCTTGAAATTTATTTACTCAAAGAACCTTAATGCATCATCAATTATGCCACACTTGGCGTATAATGAAAGCAAAGTGTTACCCACCATTAAATCCAGACTGGACCCTAATTTTAATAAGTAACCATGTACCTATTTTCCAGCTTCCACATCGATTAACTTAGCAGAACCTCGGATAATGGCTGCAAGTGCTACAGGTGATGGACTCTCACCACTATTCTCTGCCCTCATTTGCCTAAACAACTCCAGCCCAGATTCCATGGAGTCGCATGTTATACAAGCTCCAACCATGGCACTCCATGTCACCACATTTTTTAAACTCATCCCATCAAATATCCTTGTTGCATCAGCTAACCACCCACATCGTCCATACATGTCCAAAAGTGCGGTCCCAACAACTACATCACCATAAACTCCTTTCCTTAGACAAAGACCATGAACAGCTTTTCCCAGAGTCACCTTATTAGTCTCTCCTATAACTGGCAAAATGGTCACCAGATTAGAGGAATTCGGACTCTCTCTCTCCTCTTGCATTTCCAAAACTAATCCAATTACATCTCCAAACAACCCGTGAGCTGCAGACCCAGCAATAGTTGCATTCCAAGCCACAATATCCCTCTGAAGCATCCCATCAAACACCTCTCATGCTTGGCCCAGACACCCACACTTCACATAAAAATCAACCGAAGCTGTACAAACAAAAACACCCGCGCCAAGTCCGAGTCTTTCTAGATCACCATGAATCTTCACCCCAGTTTCAATATCTCTCAATGTGGCACAAGCTTTTAGCACGAATGGATACGTATAGTTCGTTGGTTTGACCCCAAAATAAACCATTTCATGGTACAAATCAACTGGTTTCTTAGGGCATCTCCAATCCAAAGCTCCTCTAAACTCTATATTTAGAGTTGAAACAGTGAAATCCCACTACTTTTACAGTTTAAACAGTGTCAGCATCTCCAACCCATTCCCTCTATAAAATCCCTCTAAAAGGAATATTCTCAGTATATTATATTATTTATTTTTTTTTTGTAAAACTAAATTTTATTATTTGTATTTTATTCTATTCTATTACTAAAATAAATTACATTTAAGAAATTTTATAATTTACGCATATGATTGTTAATTTAAATAATAATTAGTAATATTAATTATTAAATTTAAATTACATAATTTTTATATAATTAATTAATAGTAAATTTTTCACCATATATTATGCTAAATAAATAAAATTACAAATAGTAAAATAACAAAAATATTTGGCTCAATGATAATAATAAAACACCATTGCTAATATTACATTTAAATCATTAAAAATACATAACAAATACAAGTCGAAAATATTACAAACATTAATTTAACAACAACACACACATGAAAATACAAATGCATATTTTGTGAAGAAAAAAAAACATAACAACACTAATTATTACTATGAGAATATTGTTCCCACATATGCTCAACCAAAGCATCGCGAAGTTCAAAATGTGCCTTCTGTTTCGATTTTTACGTGCCGTGCGAGCTGTTCAAAGCGGTCTCCTCACGAGGCATTAGCGTAACATTTGAAGTAGGAAATTCCACATTATCTCTAATTGGTGCACTGAGATCACGTTCATCTTCGATAATCATGTTGTGCAAAATAATGCATGTTGTCATTATATCATGAAGCACTTCTTTTTGCCATAAACGAACGGGACATGCGATAATAGCGAATCTCCTTTGCAGAACTCCGAATGCACGTTCAACATCTTTTCTACATGCCTCTTGTCTTGTTTTAAAATATTGTTGCATGGGATTAGTTGGTGCTGCAAATGACTGTACTATAGTAGCCCATTTGGGGTATATACCATCAGCTAAATAATAACCCATATCATACTGTTTGCCTCGAATAGTGTAATTAGCCGGAGGAGCAATACCTTCGCAAGATTAGACATTAGATGAGATGCTTCTAACACATTAATGTCATTGTTAGTACACATACCGAAATACGCGTGCCATATCCAAAGATCATAATCCGCTACGACTTCCAAAATAATAGTTGGATGTCCGAGCGTCCACTATATTGGCCACCCATCCGCTAGGACATTTATCCCATTGCCAGTGCATACAGTCCAAGCTACCCAACATACTTGGAAAACCACGTTGTTCACCAATATGAAGCAGCCTAGCGACATCAGCAGCATTTGGTGCCCTCAGATACTGAGAGCCAAAAATTTCTACGATTGCCCGACAAAATTTTTTTAAGCATTCATTTGCTGTTGACTCGGCAATTTGAAGATATTCATCAGTCTGATCCGCCGGGACACCATACGCCAATTGGCGCAATGCTGACGTTATCTTTTGATTTGTTGAGAGTCCAGGTCTACCAAGAGCATCATTGAGCTTTTTGAAATACCTATCATGACTTTTCTGCATTAGCAATACGCTCGTAAAGAGTGAGAGACAAACGAAACCTTCGACGAAAAGTGTCCGCATCGTAGGTGGGATTGTGAATGAAGTAATGCTGGTACAAAGTCGATCGCACCTTCTCGATCACGATGGACGACTCTATGGCACAGGACCGAACCCCCAGTAGGTTGGCTACTTTCAGCAGAGATAGCGTGTGACATCATAACATTAGAAATGTTTATGAAATGAGCAATTGGTAGATGGAAATCATTTTCAAATGGAGGAAATTCTGAATCTGAATTCTCCTCATCTGAATCATGATCAAATGGTGGAAGATAACTCATTTCAATGATTATTGGGAAACTACGGGAATAGAAAATATGAATATAAGATACTTACATTGTATGACATGTTGGTTGCTGTTTATATAGACAAATGGAGGAATTGATTCCAAAGTATTGACTTAACATCATGACTAATAATTCTAATTTATTGATTTCTTTTCAAATAAAAAAGAATCCTATGCTTCTTTTTTGGCTTCATGGTCCAAGTTTAGTACAAAGCACATTTTATTGTCGGTCCCAAAAGTCATCACATGTATTGTCAGTACAATAAGGAGAATCTGGTTCATTTATTTTGAATTGACGGTGGAGAATTGTCGTTATATGGAATCCTATGCCTTTTCAGTACAATGGTCCAAGTTGATGATTACTGTGTTGTCAAATACTGAATCCTCTTCCGACTTGATGGTGACTATTCAATCTATCACATTTTATTGTCGGTACAATAAGGAACAATGTTTTCTTTTAATTGACGGTAGCTATTGGTCCTATGCTTCTTTTTTATTAAATGGTCCAAGTTGATAAATAATGATCCATGTTCACCAATATGAATAATGAGTAATGATGGTCCAAGTTGATAAATGTTGAATAATGAATAATGATGGTCCAAGTTGATGAATATTGAATAATGAATAATGATGGTCTAAGTTGGCTTGATAGTTGGCTCCAATAAATGAAATAATCTGATTCATTTATTTTGAATTGACGTTAGATATTCAGTCAAACACATTTTATTGTCGGTCGCATAAGGAATCCAATGTTTTCAGTCAAGAAAAGGAATCCGATGCATTTGTTTTCTAACATGGTCAATATACACACTTTTTCCTATAAAAAGAATCCTATCTGAGCACTTCATTCCAATTTGCATCCACTTCTCCTTCTAATCTATACCTTCAAACACTCTCAACAACCAAAAATGGCTTCCAAAAAGGGGGTTAATTATACTAGGGCAGAAGATGAACTTCTTGTGAAATGTTACATCCATATTTCAGAAAATCCAATTGACTCAAACAAGCAGAAAGCACAAACATTCAGGAGAGAGTAAGTTCCGCATTTAACGAGAACAAGAAGATTGACATGGAAGAAAGAAGTTTTAGATCATGCGAATCTCGCATTCGTATAATTGTAGGTATTTGTAAGAAGTTTAATGGATGTTTACAACAGATCGAGAATCGCAACCCTAGTGGGACACAACTCGGAGATCGGGTGAGTTTATAATTTTTATTTTTTTCTAGTTTTCAATTTATGTTAGTCTTATGTTTTTTTCTTATGTATGTTAGTCTCTTTTTTTTTCTTTTGTAGATGAAACAAGCCGAAGAGCTATTTATTCATACAACAAAATTTAAAACTGGGTTCAAGTTTGGCCATGTGTTTGATTTGCTACGAAATTTTGGCAAATTTAATGTCCCCCAACCAAACTATGGTTCTCGAGAGTGTACTACAATCAACGACTCGTCGGAATCCGAAAATCCTAATCCTGAACAACCAACACCCGAGTCTCCAATGTTGTCATCTCTTAATCCTGAACAAAGCTACGATAGTGGTAGCGGAAGTGGACCATCGTCTCGACGCCCAATGGGAGTGAAGAAAGCCAAACTGAAGAAGAAAACAGAAGACCATTTGAGTAAGATGTTTAGTACTTTCAATGTAAAAACTGATGCTATGCTTGATTTTATGAAGGCACAAGATGAATGCCAAAACCAACAACTTGAAATACAAAAACAAAATTTGGAGTACAAAAAAAAACAACAAGAGGACAAAGTGCTGATGATGGACTTGAACTCTATTCCGAATGTATCGGTTCGTCGATATTGGGAAAGAAAGCAGCTCGAAATTATACAAGCGAGGGATTTACAAGAACAACAATCTCAAGGACAATAATCGTCTAACAGGGGACAGTTTGGCACACCATCAAACGATGGACAATTTGGATTTCTCAATGATATCGGACATAGTGGAGGCAATTTGAATGATTATTATGGTAGTGATGATAATTAATTTGTGAAACCGTCTACTTGTCGTTTGTATTAATGTTTTTTCTTAATTGTTGTTTTTATTGTCGTAGTGTGTTTATTTGTGAGTTTCAATGATGTATTTCTTTTAATTTCTAAAATGAAATCTAAGATAATATAAAAATCAATCCAACGGCCAATATTATAATGAAATCTAGGATGACAGCCGGATTTATCGTTATTGTGTTTTTGGTGTTTGGTTTTGTGAGTTTAGATGATGTACTTTATTTGTACTTATTGTATAATTTAAGTTTATAAATAATCAAAATAATGTAATTGTTTTGATTGTTTGTAGTTTCTTTTTATGTGATTTTATTAATAATAATATGTGTCTTATGATTTTATAATAAATCAACAATAGTTACTTAATCCATGTTAAAATACACATACATATATTTACTATTAAGACTTAAGTTCACTCATTAAAATGATAATTATGATTATTAATTTTGAGTTTTACAACTTAAATAATAATTAAGAATGAAATAGATATATATTAAATTATAATAATTAAATTAATTAAGATCTAAACTAGTATTAAAAAGGTTAGTAGTTACAATCCAACATAAAAAAAGCAAAAAAAAACAAATGGCCCAAAGAAAGTCCAAAGAAATGGCCCAAATTTCTGTTTTAAAAAAAGCAAAAAAAAAAAATAAAAAAGGTTCACCCGCAATATAGCGGGTGAACAGAGCCCTTCATATTTGAAGGAGTAAAGGGGCTCATGGCGGAGGGGCCCAGAGCGGAGCGAGCTGCGTTGAAGATCCCGCTCCGCTAAAACCAACGCGTCCGCCCAGTTTGGCGGACGCGTTGGAGATGCCCTTAAAGGGTCCTTCCCAAGCATATGCCCTGATCAGTTGGTTCCATAAAAAAACTCTCTCTCCTTCGCCTATATGGGCTTGGGACAGCATTGAAAAATCTTTGAGCCAAGTCTAGTTTGCCGCAGGAAACAAAGAGTTTGGTTACCTCACCCAATATTAGAGTAAAGGTCTGACCTTTGGAATTAAACTGAGGGTCTTTAATCAGAACTTGGCTGATTAATTTGCCGTCAGCTGAAGATTTTGATGATATGCAGTCCTCAAGAAGTCGGAGGTAGTAA